TTATTATTCTTCCCCTATATCACTGCTTTACTTTACTGAGTGAAGAAGAATTCTAATGAGGTCTTCAGGGAGTAGCCTACACTGGCTGACAATTTTTGCCTTTGGTTTATCTTGCAGAAGAAGAGGTTTCACTTGTGTGGTTGTGAATCAAAAGAAGCCATGCCAAAATCTCTTGCAGCTTGCTTTCCTTGACTCTTGCACTCCCTTTGTAGTTTCAGGATGTTTTTTGGTAATCATGTGGCCTGTCTTTGGATTACATTGTGTATGCAGTTAGATACTTAACTGGTGGTTTCTTTTGGATTTTAAGCTGGCAATTCTTGGAGCCTGCACTTGCAACACTTCTGGAGGGCAGCCTTGTCCTTGTGCTAAAATGGCAGCTGTAACTCGAAAGCAACTTCTTCAACTCAAGCAAGAGGTAACACTGCTTGGCACAGAGGTGCTTGTGCTCAAAACCAAATAAAGCCAGGAACACTCTACTGCAGCTTACACAAGCTAATGTGTCTTAAAACAGGAGTGCTTCTCAGAAATTGTGTGTGTGTGGATGTGTGTTGTAATGCTTGCAGTGCCCTAACTTTTGCCGATATAAAACTGATATTATTATCTCGATCAGCTTTACTAGTGAAAGAAAAAATAGATCCCTTTCTCATTCTTTTCCTTCTACCCGCATTTTTTAATCTAAAAAGAAAAAAAGCCATTCTAATTGTATGCATTTGATAAATGTATACACAGCGTGTGGCCTACCACTGACCCGTTTCCTTCCTTCCTGGCAGTGCGTTCCACCCCCTACTCACGTTGCCATCAGCACTCACAAACCTGCCCACCTAGCGAGGTCGGAAAGCTGATCTTGCTGAAAACTATATATTTATATCACACTTAAATTAATAACATGATGCTCAAGCTCTTAAGATTTTTCATTTGGTGAAATTGTGTAGTTTCAGAATCTTTATTCTAATTTGTATTTGACTCTGCAAATGTGGTAACCATTCTCATGGCACTGCAGAAGTTCCAGCTGACTTACTGGTTTTGAAAATAAGTACTGCCATTTTGTACCAAAGTTAGTATCCCTGACATAGATGCCATTCTTTTGCTCTTTTTGCTCCTGGCCCAACCAGCATACGCCCTCCTCACGCTGTTCTGCCTGTGCAGAAGTAAATGAGCAGTGCTGACAGCTTGTCTGTGTAAATGGGTGGTGAAATGGTAAATGTGTGCATGCGTGGCACAGGAGGGCTAAGAGGACTCCAGTACAGAGATCAAAATCTATGTCTTAACATGGCAAGAAAGTTTTTGGGTTTCTACTACTTCCCTGATGACATTTATTTAAATGTTATCTGTGTTAATTGCTTACCTCTGTCTCTTAAGAAACATTTTAAATGTGCTATTATTTCCAAATCGCTTAATATACTTTAAATTTTCTCTGAATTAAAACCAGACTGAAAATCTGAAGAAGAGTAAGGATGAAGCTTATGTAATGGCAGATGCCTTCAGAATTGCATTTGAGCAGCAGCTAATGCAGAAGAAAGACCAAGCCCTGAGGCTGGCAGAAGTGATAAAGATTAAGAAGGAAACAAAATTTATAAACTGGAGGCGTCTGAAGGATGATGGTAACTGGGCATGCTATACATTTGTAGTGGTTGACTAGAAAAGAAGTTAGTTGACAAATGATACAGGATGATTTCATATCATACTAAGTGTGTGGTTGTGGTTTAATTGCTGTCTGAGGCTTCTGAAGCATCAAGAAAAAAGTAACAAAGTTATGTCAAAACTGTAAATACATGAAATAGTTGAATTTCTACTGGAAGTTTTGCATAAGTAGGGCAGGGTGCCTGTATGTGTAAGTGGAATATTTAAAACTACTGTAGGACACTGGAGCTACCATTCTGGGTTTTTAATGTAGCCCTGTCCTATTACACGTCCTTGAACTGAGCAAAAACATACTCAAGTAAATAAGCTGCTATCCACAATAATAATAACATTCTGGGTATTGAAGATGCTTATATGAAAATGGTACAAAAAAAGCTAACATCTGGCAAGTTTACCTTGGCCATTTTAGGTAGTATCAGCAATTAAATGTGCTGGGTTTTTTTTTCTGAATGATTTCTATGTAAGAGTTTTCCTTGTATACTTCTACACCAAAAGAGTTATCAAGGACTGGAACAGGCTTCCCAGGGAAGTGGTCGAATCACCATCCCTGGATGTATTTAAAAGCCATCTAGTTAGGGTGCTCATGGATATGGTGTAGAAGTGGCCTAGTAGAGATAATTGTTGGACTCAATGATCTTAAAAGTCCTTTCCAACCATAGCAATTCTGTGATTTTGTGAGTTACAAAAGGAGGAGAAATGTAAAAATCTATGTATGTGCACCTACATCAGTGTTTATTACTCTTCTTATACTTCACATGGTCATCTGTGAGTTACAATGCACTCTGTAAAAGAGGAATAATTCTTATTACGCTTTTCTTAAAGGGAAAAGCAGAGGTATTGAAATGCTTATGCCATGGTCAAAGCCGTGGCAGAAGTCAGGAACAGCACTTCAATATACATTTGTGTTAGCCATTGATCTGGATGTCCCAGGCTCAGAAGCTTGCTGGGTCTGCTAGATTCCTTGAGTGCCCTCAGTATATATACTAAATAGATAGTGTACTTAGGTTTAGAATGATGTATAAGTGATGTACTGATGTATAAAAGATGTGCGTAGATGTCTAGATAATAGTGTGTATCGATGTGATACTAACACAGCATACATTTTGAATGTGTTTCCCCTGTACAAACATCATTGTTTCCAGGCTCTATATCCTGATACACACATTTCACAGTTTTAATGTACTTTAACCTTTTTAGAAATTTGACAAACTTTTAAGCAGCATTTGTGAAAGAATCTTGGTTTCCAGGCTACCTGCTTTTTAAAAACAATTTATCAATTATTATTATTTACCTGGAGTATTAAATTGGAAAATACTCCATAGAAGCAAAAAGAACTTTATTTTCAATTTGTCCGTGTATGTGATGAAAGGTCTGCTTAGCCTTTAAGTGACAGTAAGGGTGTTGTTGCATGGAATAATCTGCCACGTTCTGCACAGTGGGAAAAGCTGTAGCTTACATTGCCTTTTTAGAGGACATGGGTCAGAATGAAGTTGTACACATGCCCATTTGATTCCAAAGCATCTTTTTCTCCTCCTAACCAATTCCACAGTTCTTGTCATTTTGTTTTCCTTAGGACGTGCCAAGTTACAAACTAACAAGAACAGCCTGGGGCGAAAACTGTCTGGCCTGCTTTCATCAGATGTGGACTGTAGGAAGGTTGAGGAGCTGGACAATCCTCATGAAATCCTGAAGATGTTAATAGATTTGGTGAGTATTTTGTTAAATTATTTGCTATGAGTCCTTAGTGGGGGGGGGCAAATGTAACTGTAGATTTACATGGACTGGCTTGTTCTTAATTCATAAGCCGATTTCTTTCTCTTTTAAATAAACATACAGATAAATGACAAAGAGGAGGCTCTGGCTCATCAGAGAAAGGTTAGTTACATGCTAGCTCGTGCAATGGAGGCGAAAGAGGATGTTTTAGGACCAGATAAAGGAAATGGCTCACTGGGGAGTTGTCACC